AATAATAATATGATTCAGTATTTAGAATGATAAACTTGTGTGAGTTGTAAGTAATACTACTAGTATCTGTTGGCTGTAAAACATTCCCACTAAAAGCCTTTTCCCTTTATATCTGCTAACAGAAACCCAACTGGATTCAATCTCCTTGCTATTATCTTTGATATCCTCAACTTCAACAGGATGTAACTCACATTTTACATATAAAGCCACTCTCACTCCTCTTTAGTACTCTATCCCTATTAAATAGCCTGTAACTCTGCATTTCAAAGAAATTTCTGCCATCAAAATCATCTACATTTAACCATGTTTCAGTTATTCCCTTTATATCAAAATCCTCCATTCCTACCAGTGCTCTAAAGTCATCTATTATATTTCTTATTCTTCTAACATTACAATAGTACAACTAAGCCTACCCTTACAAGTTCTATACTCATTTTTCTATGCTAAACTTTTCTCTGTCTGTTATTCTTTTTTCATTTAGTTTATCCTGGGTCTCTCCACTGTCTAGTCCTAGTTTAAAATTTCCCTTACAGCTGAACTTAATAGCCTTAGTAAAAAAGCCAGCCCCTATCCTATTTAAATGTAAATCATCCATTCTAAAAAGCTCCCTTCTTCCACTGAACTGATCTCACAAGTCCAACGAGCCAATCTGCTCATCTTTACATACCAACATAAGCCTAGCATTTAGCCCTAGTGCCTTACTCATAATTTCATCACCACAATTAATTATTAGCAGTATCCCTGACACAATTAAGTTACGGCCTTTTTCTTTAAATGTCTTTATTAACCCCTTGTACTTATTACTTAGCTCCTCTGACCTACCTTTTCCTACATCATTAGCCCCTACCTGCACAACAAAAACTGCATCTCTGCTAGCCCCCTTTATTATATATCTTGCTCTGTAAGTTATATCCCCCACCTGTGTCCCTGAATAGCATAATCTAATTCTTTTCTCCCTATTTACCTTCTCTCCAATAGTTCCTCATCTGCACAAGCCAAGGGCTGAAATCTGTTGCTCAGTAGGCTCATTACAATTAAATCCACTACTTTTAGCCCTAATAGTACTCTTTCTAACTTCCTGAAAGACATTGATAGATGATGTATCCCTTACATGTAAAAGCTTAAGCTCTTATTGAAATCCTGCTGCCATTTCCCAGTTTACACTTCTCTTTATCTGTTGCCTCTCTTTCTCTCTCTCTAGGGTATCGGTGAGCATGGTCTTCCACTGATCCCTGTCTCCCATTGTTCTTATAATTTCTATAGTGGTAATTCCTAGTTATATTATCTGTACTTTAATTAAAATACTCTACAACTTCTTTTCCAACTTGCAAACTCTACATAAAAGTTGCACATCTTCACTACTAGCTTCCTTAAAAGTACATACCAGTCCCAAGTTCCCAAATAAAACCCATTTACTGCACCCACCACACTTAAACTGTGAAAACTTAACTCCTACACTAGTCTTAAACATTGTTTTTGTATCCTGGAAGTAAACACTCAATACTAAATGTAAACACCAGTAGCCTACTGCCAACATTGTAAAGCCTAACATTTGAGAATCAAATATTTTAGTTTTTATCACTACTTTATGTTCACACTAAAGTAATTAAGTTTATCTTTAATTTTATAGAAGTGATAAATAACTAGTCTTTATTTGATACTTATGTAATACTAATAATACAATGTATTTAGCCTGATTTGTAACCTACCCAAATTAAAGAGACAATTAACTAGTCTTTAGGTTGGATTTGTTTAATAAAACAATGTATTTAACCTGCTTTATGATTTATAAGTAAGTTGAATTATAGCTAAGTCTAAAGTACCATTTGAATTTATAAAAATTTAGTTCACATATGCAACTAAATGGAGTGTGTTACAAATGTGTGTGGCACTGGTGATCCTAAGGTGGCTAGTCATTGCATATATATATATTTCAGTTTTGTTTACATTTGTAATACTTAATTTTCAAATAAACTTCCAAAGTGAACCCAATCTGCACTTCTATAGGTAATGTTTTACAAATATCTTATTTTTAGTAAAGTCTAATAATTAGAATATTTTGGAATGTTTTACCTTACATACAGTCACACACACACAAATTAAAATATCTATTAATAAATCATGACTAGTTTGATAAACATCACTCTTTATGCTGGTTACATTTGCCAGTTTAATAATTCCTAGTTATCTATTTGGCACAATCCATTCAATGAATATAGAATAGTTTACCAGAAATTAATTACTAACAGATCACTTACATATCTTCCAAATTGAAAATAAAAACTGACCTTTTGAGTAAGCTCTTGACATCCACACACGTTCAAAACAAGCCTACAAAATAAAATATCATTCACTGACAGAATATATTAATAAATGGTTGCTTACCTGTGTGAAATAAAAGTACAGTTAAACAAAGAATAATTAATATAAATTTTACTTGTGTAAATATCCTCATGTGCAAGATAAGTTTATTTTTATATTATTAAATAATTAACATAAATTTTACTTGTGTAAATATCCTCATGTGCAAGATAAGTTTATTTTTATATTATTAAATAATTAACATAATATTTACTTATGGATATCCTCACATGAATTACAAGTCCATCAAAGCAACAACCAATTAATATAAGTTTTTATTTATGTAAATCCTCTTATGAATATCAAGTCTTTCAAAGAAATAAATCATTAACATCAAAAGAATAACTACAAATGACCAAAAGAAGCTTACCTATGTAAACTTTCCAATCGAGGTGCGAGTCCACCAAAACTTGATGCAATTGTATTAATCTCTACCTGTTTTATCTCCAAATCTTCAAAGTTCACATCTTTACTAGTACTGTTTAGCATGTAATCAGACCGAAACAATCCCAAACTTAGGGGCTAAATTGTGTAAAAATATTAGAAACACTGTTGATACTCTGATTATTAATTTTTAGGGAAGTAGTGTGGTTTCATATAATTACATTTGTCCTGAAACTAATAGGGAAGCACTATCATATACACTTAGAAAGATTCATGTTCGTTATCTTGGATGACTTGCAAAATATATACAAATTTTGATAACAAGTTTAAATACACAAACTATATCAATACATTAGTTTTTACTAGTGCCTATTTAAAAAAAAACAAAGACAGATCCAGTCGTAATTTATTAAGCAATACACACACATACATAGACACCTATATACAACACACATAACTTTCCTTAACTGAAATGGATGCAACACATTTCTTAGTAGAAGGAAGTGTAATAACCTTTGATTAGTTGGAGAAATTTTCCCCACTGTAATGAAACTGGTACTTGTATTTTCACAAAGCTACTAAGGTTATCTACTTCAATCCCTAATTTTGAACTAATGACAATAGGGAAGGCAGCCTGTCAGTAGGACCATACCACCCAAACTAAAGGACTGACTATTACTAATATAATTTACTTACAGCTAAAAGTGTTGGGGAAAATTTTGTGGTATTGCATGGGATTAAACACAGCCTGCCAGCTCCAAAATCCAGAGTTTTACCACAGGATCAACCCATGCCCCAAATGAAAGTGGAAAACTTTCCAACTAAAAAGAAAAAGCTTTTTTAGTGAAAAAAAAATGGTAGTAAACATTGCCAGTGCAAATAAATGGGAGGAGTTTTGATTAGAACACAAAAAATTTGTTTGTTTAAAGTATTGGTTAAAAGGTTTCTTAATGACAAAAAGTGGGATGGAAACTGCAGTATATTTCCTTTCCAGGAAGAGAATTTGGGTACATTTTTTTATGTGGAATGAAAAGTGTACAACTTCCCTTAATATAAAAAAATAGTTAAGTATATTTTTCTTGTGAAAAACAATTTTTGTTGGTTTTTGAATAAAATTTCAACAAGAACTGTCAGTTGCTTAAGTACACTTAAGACATTTATTTTCCTAAGCTTGACTACTTATCACAGTGATTGTGCATGTAGAAATGATCTTATAAAAAAAAAATGCTTTACTTACTTGAGCAAAACCTTCTTTCATGACTTCTTCATATATACTAAACAAATTTGCTGTGAACTCATCTGTTTGAATCGTACTGCATACAAACAAATAAAAATACATTAACAAGTTGAGACGACTTTCAGGTATACAAGTTCAACTTTTGCTTATAAAAAAAGTAACGTCAATATAAGAAAATAATTTGTGTATGTTTTTATTTTAGTTTTATCCACCATTTACAAACAAGATCTCTCAAATAAAACACCTCTGAAGGCAATCCTTGCTTTTTGTAACAATCCAATAACACAAAGTACCCTTATAATTTTTAAACATTTATAAGGAGCTTGCTTTTAAATGTTAATCAAACTCCCAAAATATTCAAATATTTGTTAAATCTTCCTGATACATTTACTAACTTTGTATATAGTAAAGGCTATGATTACACATTTTCTTCTTTGTAAGCCTACCACTCTCAAATAAATTAGATTTTAGGTCTGATTTATATCATCATCTTTACACTTATTTAAGTTTTCCCTCCCTTTTGATGTAAAATAAAAATTGTTGATAATGAACTACTCCTGAACCTATGATAGAAAAACATTTACTCATTAATGGCCTTGTGTTTACAATTAGACAATGCTATTAGCAGGCTGTTTGATAATACATGCTTAGGAATGAACGTACATATATTAAACCAAAAATGGATTTGGTTTCAGACAATACAGAAGAGGTCAACTTCACCTGGAAGCTTTTGTTCTATTTATTACTCAGCTTTACTTACTTATAAAAAGTTCAGTTATTCTACACAGTGTTGAATTTGTAATAAAAATCCAATGAGCAAAAAAAGTGAAGGTATATCTTGAAACATACTATGACATTTATGATAATCAGCAAACAATTTCAAGAATTCTCTTAGTGATTTGCTTTCATGCTAATCCAGAAAATAAAGAATCAAGTCTTATTAATGCCCATAATTTTAACGTTCGTGTAATCGTGACATCATTATATAAATATTGTTTGTATCTTTTATGCTCCACTTCTACATTCATTCAACTATCGGTTTGTTTTTTTTATATTTTCAAAATAACTTAATTTCTTTTCAACTTTATTTTGGTGTCCAACATCTAAGCTAGATGAAGAGTGTTCATCCAAAATGTTGCAAAAAATATTAAATAATCCAATTACTTTAAGATATTCCTTCAGTAAAGATATTTCTTTTATGCTATTACTTTTTCACATCTTGAATTTTCTCTTCTATAGTATGCTTGAACATATCACATGAAACTAACTAGTCGATTAATTAATTTCATTTGCTAATTAAAAGACAATTATACTCATTCCCTCCCATATGAATACCATGACAAGAAAATGTTGAACTATATTTAAATTAACCCCTTTCTCTTTCATACAGCTGACTGGGTCCAGAACAAATTTTAATTAGTAATATTTCTTTTATGCAAATAGAATACCTAGTAGAGAAATAATTTATCTTAACCCTAGAAATACTTCCAACCAGTATTTTTAAACATCTTTGTCTATATGTTATTAAGGATCCAGGAACCAACAAAATCATAGACCTACAAGCAATTGGTGCTTAATTATTAGTAAAAACAATATTAGAATTATTTACACTGATTAATGAGCAAGTTCATGTACACCCCAAAGTCTGTAAAGAAAGGGTTAAACAAGTTACATGGATATCAGCAGTTTTTATGTATTATAAAGTAAAGCTTACAAGTAACCACATACTTCTTTAAACAGGAGCTTAAGAATTCATAATTGTAAGCCACTTGATGAATTAGTAAATTAATATCTTTCTGAATGAACTTTGCATATTCAAAACTCTTTTTTGGAAATGGTGATGGAAAAAGACAAAATGGTAGTAAGACCACGCTGTCATCTTCACAAGACTCTTTAGCCCGCATGGATATGCCTGCAATAGATATACAAGCCATGAATAAAAATTATTTTACTACAGATAGCCCTACCATTTTTAGTATAAACTCTTTTTGCCATCTTAACACAGTTGAAAAAAGGTTTTAAGCAGTAGTATACACTAGTAATCAATCAATATATATCCATCTTTAATTAATTAATTGTTTTCAAGTGTTTAACTAGCTTATTTTCCTCTTTACATAACCTTATGGATAACAGCTACTGTATACTTAAAATACTTCACAACAAAATTCAATGTAGAACAAAAAGGTATTTACCCATAGCATCAAATTATGTAAATATTTCAGTTTTACTCTCAATTTTAAGTTCATGCTTAGTTTACAAAAATAAACTGGTTCACTACAAATTACCATTTATGAGTGCATAATCTTTTGCCATCTGAACAACAGGTGCTAAGGACAGTTGCTGGTGTTCTTGGTCCATGCTTTGATGAGGTAGAATGTGTTGAATGAAATCTGAATACATTTTTACTTAATTTTACTTCCCTTGGTCAGTCTTTACTGGATCTAAGATACGGAATATATGAAATTACAGAGCACCATATAATAGAAGAAGAATTGTATATACATGTATATATAAATTTCACATATTAAGTGAAACATGTTCTAACTTATGTAGAGAAAATTCATTTCATCACTCCATGCTATACTGTAACATCACACAATACTATAAGTTTTATGTTTTCCTTTCAAGTATCTCATGCATAATAAATTTACTATTATTATAATATATTTAATTCACTGAGACTGTGAGAAAACATGCTATACAATCTTCCACAAAATAAAAGTTTGTTGAATGGTAAATTAAGCAACTTTTTAAGATCACAAGACAGGTACATTATGTTAGAATAATTAACATATGTTTTCTTTAAGAAAACACAGAACATAAAACTTAAAGCATGAAAATCTTCCATTTATGAACAAGTGTAGAATGTGTTAATGGGGAGAGAAAATTCACCATTTCTCTTTCTTCCCAATATAACATATTGTTTTTTTTGTAAATATTTTGAACTGTAAACTTCACCTCAAGAAATAAATTTTTAAATGCTATTAAGATTTCATACAGGGAAAAATTCTTCTCTCACAAGTCTTTTGACCTTCTTATATGTCACTGCTCATACTGATGAAAGTAGAGGTGTAAATTTGGTATACTTAGATTTTTGGAAAGCTTTTGAAAAATTTACAAGAGAAAAACTAGATAAGAAAATTAATCTGTTTGGATGTATGGGATAAGTTAGTTTAAAAAGTTATAAAATTTTAAAGGGACAAAAAGAAGTTTATTAGCCCATGAAGTTAAATGGATTAAGGGACAGTTACACAAGAGAAGGCATGGGGTTGTAATATATAGTGCTCAGTCACACTGGATTGGAGTTATAAGAGCCAGGCTTTCTTAAGTGTCTAGTTTTCAACTGAAAAATGTTGAAAAGATCTTCTCCTATAAGTATGATTTTTACAGTTCTTGAAAACATAATTACTGAAAAACCTTGATGAAGATGACTACTGTTTTTCACACGTGTTTTCCTTTACCAGATTATATTGTACCTAGAACAAAAAGCAAACAAATTGTAAGAAGGTTTTCCCTTCTGCTGCCTTTTTTTCTGTGATAATATTTCAGCTGCCAACTTTGTTTACCATCCATTCTAAAAATACAAATATGAAATCCATCACAAAAATGCATACCACCTCTGACATACCATGTGTTTTGGATATGATTAAATCAAATTATATACTTCCCAGATTGATTTTAGACTCTAATATTTTTATTTACTTAAAAATTTGAAACCACTGTCTTGAAAATAAACAACCGTAAAAGAGAACCCATGATTACAGTGACATATTATTTTGGATATTTTTTATATGTAAAAAAGTAATGGGACATTCAGCTAATAACAAATTTTCAAAACATAAATGTTTACCAATTAATCACAATAAAGGCTTGAATCATACTTACAATTTTTGTTTTTGTGTTACTGCTTTGAAATTAAATTTTTCTGATGGTGACATGCTACTTTTAACACCACAACATTGTTTATTTCCTTGGTTTGCTGGAAAACATAACACAAAAAAGCTCTGTTCATTGTCTATCACTTAGAAATTATTATACGTTTGTGTAAGGTACGTACTCGGAGAAACGTGCCCCAGAACACTGGTGACATCAAATTCACCACTTACGAAAGCCTGGCCCATAAGTGGGTGGCATACCACTGAGCTGGGACCCTTACTGTTTTTGATATACATTAACAAGCAATTTGCTAATATAAATATCCATCATAATCCAGCTGCCCAAAAGAACCTTGGTTTTGTGAAAAAGGCCCTGTCAGAACTGGTTATAACAGATGTGGTGTGGTTGGTATACTATACACTTTTATTACTTTTGCTTGGACATTTTTATAAACAAATCAAAAAAGGTTATCTATTCTTCATACAGATCCTTGGTAATGCCAGCCTTTGGAGTAATGTTTTCTGTTTGGGCTTCTGACTATAAAAAGAACATCTAGTTATTTGAAAGGGTACAAAGGAAGGCTACTATGTGTAAGATTACTATACATGGGATGGAGGGAATGTCATAAGAGGACAAGTTAAGTTCTTTAAATTATTTTCTCTTGAGAAAAGAATGGTTAGAGGGGATCTTCTTAAAGCATTCAAAATCATAAGAGGAATAGACAGGATTGATGTTCTATCTTTTTTTCATGTTAAATATTAAGAGTGGCAGGAGTAGAAGACATATTCAGCAGGGTCAAAATTCATCTGCAAATTTCAATAAGATGGTTAGCCTTTGGAATAAATTACCTTCAGACGTGGTAAATGCAAAAGGGTTGGAATAGTTCAAGAGAAAGCTTGATTAATATTTAAAAGATCAGGCCATACATAGGCCAACAGGTATTTCATTAAATGAACCAGATAACCACAGTAAACCAAGGGAGGCCCCCTTTAAAATAGGTATATAGGTTGATTTTTCCTTTGCAATAACAATGCCATTAGCCTAAAATTATCAAATGCATTAAGATGAGAAGCAAGATTTAATATTTGAGACTGCATATTTTGAAAAGTTGTGATAAAGAACTGAAAATTAATTTTATAAAGAAAAAAATAATTTTGTGTTATGTTACATAGGGAAAGAAGAGAAATGATGGATTTTATTTATCAATGCTTGTTTATAAAATCAAGGATCTTGTCTTACATCTTTCATACCCAGCATCAAGGTGGATAATTGATGTAAATACGAGAGACACTGGGCATGACTTGTGCTACCTTAATTTAAACTGTAAATAATGAGACTAATACCATTCATTCTAAATGTAACTTTTCATATTTTTATAACAACAAAAAATTATGACTAGGTTGCATTAACACCACATATGAAGAACAAGGGATCATTTGGTCTTTAAAAGTTAAAGGCTGTCCTTGTATCTGCACCTTTAGGAAAAAAACAACCTAAACCTGTCCTTTATTTTCTGGAAATTATAAATTTTCCCTTTTATGCTCTTGTAAACTGATGGCCTCTACTACAGCTGATGTCAAATTATTCTAGAAGCCAATTACCCTGTTAGAAAATGAAACTTAACTGTAACCAACCCTGTATTTTCCAAATCTTAAACTTGTGTCTTCTCATCTTATAGACTTCAGGATATAGCACAAAGAATTATTTCAAATATTTGTTTGTTGTTAAACACAAAACTACACAATAGTCTATCTGTGCTGTGCCAACCACAGGTATTAAAACCTGATTTTTACTTTTAGTGTTATAAGCCTTCTGACATACTGCTAAGCCACTAGTGGGGGAGGGGGGCAGCACAAAGAAATCAAAGGCATTTACTCCCAAAATCCCTCAAATTTGGTAAGATAAATGCTACATATTTGGTTTAAAAAGAAATACAAAAATCCAAACAGAATTATGAGAAACAGCTAGTTGATAATATTAAAACTAACAGCAAGTATTTTAAGTACTTGCATGTTAAAGGTAAATGAAATGTTAAAATGAGGATTGGACCCTTAAATGATGCTGATAGTAATGTTTTTATTGAAGACTACAAGTTAGGCATAGGGTAGGCCAGCACTTTAAATGAACATTTTTCAGGAAGTCAATGATTCCCCTCTTAAAGTGTGGGTTTAATTTTTACTTTTCTCTGTGTGAGTATGTAAAGATAGTCTTGGAGGATCAAATGGGCCATTTTTGTCCATGTTAACCAGGGTGCTTAAGAGAACCCTCTTGTGCCTAATGTTTTAAGCCTCATTTTTCTCCTTCTTCTAATGAATATTCACATTTCATTCACGTGTTGCATAGTAAGTAAGCAAATCTTGTTGATCCCATGACATTTTACCTCCTGTTTCAGTAACAAGAGGGAAATTACTGATAGATAGAGGGCTTCCTTCAATTTCCACTCAAGATGAGTTCTTCAGTTCACGACAAATACCTACGGTCCAGCATGCATGTGGTCTGAGAGTTTATCCCCTTATAGCTATATCCATATCCATGTTGATATAATCGGAAGAGCGTTCGCCCAATTATCTCACATCTTCTCTTTTCCCATTTATCCTGCTTTTTTTGATAGGGCATTTCGGGAGGAGGGCAAAAACCTCTTAAGCCCAATGAAGTTTTACGAGGCAGCTGCCCCCCATTTCGAGCGCCCTTGGCCTGGCTAGGTCTTTGTAATAAAATGACTTATTTTTGAACACAAACATCAATATTTACAAAATACACAAGCAACGTTCTTGATATAAAAATCACAAATAATAACAATGAATCAAGAGAAACAGAATAAGAACATTAAACACATCAATTAACCATTTCTTACAGCATATAATTATTAAGTCACAAATAAAAGACCAATCATTGCGAGTACTTGAAATAATACATTTCAACAAATCAAGTATCTTACACACATCAACTCTTCTCCCCTTTCCTGTATATAACTTAAATTCTTAAAACTTTTTATCACTTTACCAAAACAACGATATAAAGTATCACATGACTAACTGCTTATCATTTCTGTCACTAGTATTAGACAATCAAACATTGGACGTTGTATCCATACGTCACCGCTAGGGGAACATCGTTTTGGTGTCTTAATATAAAAATCACTCGTTTGATGCTTATAATACACTAGGAGACAGGTAATATAATAATTAAAGCAAATAAAAATATAGCTGAACTAAACGACTGAAGAAAAAAGTACATAAACAATAAACAAAATCATAACTAAAAATAAAATGGAAATTGCTACCTTACGCTCCTCGGTACTGAAAAGGGAAAAAGAAAAGAACTGATGGCAAAATTCCCTTCTTAAATTCCATTAGTTTATACCAACACTAAAAATCTTAATGTTACGTCTCTGATCGTTTGTCTGCAATTCTATTCCGTTTCATTGTCTGGCGCACTTATATACAAGAATAACACACATCTAGCAAACACTCGAGCATTCACGAACCTTCGAGAATATCATGACGTGTTACTAGCGTCACGTGACTTCTGCTGTCGTAACATTATATAGTCGAAGTACAATGTATTTAATTTAAAAAAAACCAAAACTCAAGCTCTATCGAATAATTGACTATTCTTCTTTCGGGGAAAAAATGGTGATGATTATGTAAGTGTAATGTACGATATAGGTACAGATGTCTAATAATGCTTGGAGACGGCTTGGATGGGTAATGAAGAAACACTTTAATATAAGCTTAACATATCAGTAAATGTACAACGTTTCGACAAGTTTTTATCATCATCAAGTACAGATGTCGACGTCATGTAAGTCGTACATGCCAGATGAGTTGACCTTGGAAACAAGCCAATCATAATTGGAAACGTTGATGTCAGGTTTAGTTTGTACAAAAGTAATGTGTACATTACCTGAAACTTTGAAAGACGTAAGCGTGATAATAGTTAAAATATGTCAGAACAGTTTTCATAGGATATAAAACAAAATAAAAACAAAAGGTGTTGGGAATTAGAGAAAATTATAATGTAAGCAATATATAGACAATAATACCAATGAATAGAATGCAAAACTTGAACAAAAATATGAACAATACGTACTGGAAGTTACAGAACAACTGTATGAGAACGGTACAAATCTTCAATCAAAATGAACAAGGAACTTTAGGTGGCAAAACACTTTAAGACGCCTGACCAATTTCTTGACGACGATAAAATAACAGGTATAGAGACAAATTTTACACCAAACAGAAACAGAAAAATTAAAGAAGCTTACTCGGTAGCACTGTTAAATATAATAACGCTAAATGACATCAATCTCACAACCGGAATTGTTGACCTTTGTGTCTGCAAAAAATCAATCCAAAAACAACTTTGTAATTGAATTAATTTTTTTGGTTATTTCTTAATTTTATTATTTTTCACTATTAGTATTATTAATATTTTTACTTATGTTTCCATTTGTTTACATTAGTATTATTTTATATACACTGCTTTACATTATAATTTTCTCTAATTCCAAATTCTTTTGTTTTTCATTTTAGTTTTCTATTCTATGAATACTGTTGTACTATTGTTGCGTCAGCGAGGTCAC